TTGAGGGAAACCTTGCAATAAGCTTACAAGTGAAAACCCTAATAAATTGTGATAACATAAGATCATTATGAAGTAGGATTCCATAAGACTTATGCCTTGCTTATACTCGAGAAACATTAAGGACACCCGAGTTACTTGTGTATGACGTTGGTATAATTGAGTAAAGGATTATCTAGATATACCTAATATAGTTCTTGGGCACTTTAAATGGTAGTCGGATGTTGTGTTGATGTTGTGTGACCCAGACATGTCTCGAGTAATCTAGAGTAGTAGACTAGCTGGGCATGGTATCGATGTTATGTGACCCAAAACCTAGCCTGAGGTTTTCAGGAGATATTAATGCTATGTGACCTAGATCTTGCCTAAGTATGTTATAGTAAGCAAATAGGGGTATGGTTATTGATGATGCTAAGTGACCCCAAGCTATACCATGATGCTTAGTTTGTTGTTACGTAAATCTATCCATATGTTCATAACCATACTAGTCGCATGTTTATATGTAGAATGCATGTAGTATAGTAGGGTTATTTGTGTGGAACTGAGCTTGTGAGCTCATCGTATGGAATGAGTTTCCATACGCAGGTTCTTAGATGCCAGTTGAGGAGCTCATCGCCAGATTCAAGATTCTCAAACTTGATCACCCATCAAAGTACGTCTCGAGTATTATATTGGGCATGTACTATCATAGACTCATGTTATTTATTGAGTCATAAACTCATTTTGGGATTTATGTATTTTGAGTATACTCATGGGAGCTCCCAAAATTTATAAACTTAACTTCTATTTTGTAATCGTATTTATATTGGTATTTCTATTATGTTTAAATGTTGAAATTCAGTTAAGTGTTTTAAGAAAATGGTTAGCCACTCGGTGGTTCCGTATAACATTCTAATCCTCTGGATTTTGATTCAGACCAGATTAGGGTGTTACATGTATTTGATGAACAATATCGATATTGTTCTTCAGATAGCCAAAACAAGGGGTTTTTGACTGGGTAGTATTGATACTCTATTCATAAAGTATCTATATTGTTCCTCGAGTATTGATACCTAAGGGTGAGGTATCAATACCCTCGTACGATTACAAATTCTAGTAGCTATATTTGGTATTAGTACTCCGAGAGTATCAATACCATACAAAGAATAAGTATTGATACCTTAAGTAAGGGTATCAATATTAATTTATTTTCCCAAACATCAAATCTAAAAATCAGTATCAGTATCCAATATGGTATTAATACCCTAATGGGGAAGTAATGATACTTCATATAGCGGTATCGATACTATAAGGCATTTTTAGATCATAGAATGTAGAATTCGTATCGGTACTAAGGGTGGATACCAATACTGAGAGGTCAATATTGATACTAAGGGGCTTAGAATCGGTACTATCATGCTAATTGGGCAAGAAACCCAATTTTGGCTTAAAGGCTCAAGAAGGGGTTTAGGACGCCAAAACTTCTATAATAAACTTACAGGTGAGAACAAATAATGATTACAACAAAAGCTAAGAATCTTATAAAGTATGATGCTATAAATTTTATGCCTTTGTGTGACACTCGGGAAACAACTAGGACACCCGAGTTATTTTAGTAAGTATGATGATCGTCCTATTTGATTAAAATATTTGGATATATTTCAACTAGTGCTAAGGTACTTCATATTCTAATTGGGCGTAGATGCCTTGAATACTCACGAGGAATAAGTTAGTCGGTGTACATTTCTAATATAAAAATTTTGGATCTCATCCTACGTACTCATGGGTACTATAAGAATGATAGAGGGGTGTGAGTCCCAAGATGCAGTAAACTTTCCGATCACACCATGATGCCTACCTCAGCATGTGTGATTAGCATTCTTGTATGCTTATGATATAAATGCTAGCATGTCCATATGATGAATACATGTAGTATAATATAGTTATTTGTGTGGCACTGAGCTTGTGAACTTAGCGTTTGGAATGTGTTTCTTTTCACAAGTTCTTAGGCGCTGGCTTATAGAGCTATGACTGGATTGAGGATTTCATATTGATTCAGCTATCAGAGTACGTCTTGAGTGTTGTAGTGGATATGTACTATTCATAGACCTTCGTGTATTTGAGTCGTAACTCTATTTTGATACACTTATTATCTTATTATTTTGGGATGTATTTGGGAGCTTCCTTTTTTTAAAACTTATTATACACTTGGTTTCATTTTTATTTTGAATGATAACATTAAATGATAATTTCGATGTCGATTTTAAAAGAAAAATTGGTTTAGCCACTTCGATGATTCAATGCAATGCTTTAATCATTCAATCTTCGGATAAGACCAGATTATGGTGTTGCAATTTATATAGACATAAGTGGAGTGTAATAATTGTTTGTTAACAATTCAGGACAAAGAATAAAAGAGTATTTCCTTTTAACTTTTTTTCATATTATCTTTGTTCTTTTACATTTTTAATATATCATGGTAAGTCCACTTATACACTATTGTATATAAATTTTAGGTAAAAGGGTACCTAAGGCCCTTGTACTTATCCAAAAAACAATCAATGTGGTCTTCGAATTTTTTTGCACTCAATATGATCTTCAAACTTAGAAAAAAAAAACCCAATGTGACCCTTTAACCAACAGTTTACGTCGTTGTCCTTTACGATTCTGATTTAGCACTTCATGGTGCTGGCGTGATAGTCTCACTGGATGATGATGAGGCTGATGGCATGACAAATAGGTTAAATTAGTTTTTTTTCTTCTCAAATTCGATGGCCAGATTAAATTTTTTTAAAGTAAAGGATTTATTTTTTTAAAAATACAAATATTTAATATAAAAACAATTTCGTCTTCTTTGGAAGCCCCATAGGTGCTTACTCTTAGTCCTGTTAAGGAAGCATATCATACAATTGCATCCAGGGACGGATGCATGATTTTATGTTAGGGGAACAAATTTAAACTTAAGGGAGCGAACTAAAATTCTATGAGAGGGAAAAAGATTTTCAATAGAAAATATTTTAAAAAATCTAAAATACATGACCATTTTAAATTTTTAGACGGAGCGACTGCCCCATCTATCTCCTCGGTCCATCCCTGGTTGTATGGATATCCAACCTTAAGAAACAAGGCAAGTGCTTTCAAATGGATTCTAAAAGAAAAAAGTCGCATAAGGTGTGTTCCGTTTATAGAGAAGAATCATAAAGTCATCCGTTTGCCTATTTTTAATGCTCCTATCAAAACTGTCTTCATGGTTTGCAATATAAAACTATCCAACTTAAGAATGAAAAAAAATTAATGTTTCCAATGACAAATGATGGAAAATCAAGTGTTCATATCGTTTCCCATCCATGCCTTACATATAGCATCTCTATTATTCTTACAGCCAGATCTTGTTAGAATTCCTATTATAAGTGGTCTTCTCTTCAAAACAGCCCCATTAGTATGAACCAGATCGGTGGAAGTTCGGTGATAAAAATTCCTAAGTTTTTCTACCACTGATTATTTAATAAATAAAAAAGTAAATTAAATTAAATATAACATATTTTATTATTTAGTAAATAATACTAATAATTAATGATATTTTTATATTTAACTTTTTAATATTTTAATATTTTTAATTTAAAATATTTGTATTTTAAAAAAAACAAATAAGCCTTTGAATTTAAAAAAAATAATTTGACATTCGAACTTGAGAAAAAAAAATTTAATCTATTTGTCATGTCACCAGCCACCGTAAACCGCCATCATCCCTGTGAAGTGTCACGTCAATATCGTAACGGTCAAGAAAAAAATCGTGGGTCAAAGGAAAACATTAGGTTCTTTTTCTAAGTTCGAGGGTCATATTGAATACAAAAACAATTCGAGCACCGCATTGAGTTTTTTAGAAAAATATAGGAGCCTCAATTACCTTTTTGCTTAAATTTTTATTAAAATATATATAGATTAAAATTAAATATTTTAATCGTCTGAAATATTAAACAATTAATCTTACAAATTATAAAATATTTTTTATTAAAACATTTGAATAAATATTTAGTTGTTATAAACTTCTATAGTGAATAGAGTTATTACAGTAAAAAATTTATTTTTTTAGATATAAAGAATAATATTTTGAAAAAAATTAAAATTGAGTGATTGAATTTAAATTTTGATAAATTTATTTTTATTAATCATAAAAAAATACATTTGTTGTATAAATATAATAATTTATATTTTTATTTAAGACTAAACTTAAATTATAGATATAATTTTTTTAATCACAAAATCAATTTGGTGATGTTTTGCAAAAAAAATTATAAAATATATAATTATTTATTTAATTTTAATTTTAATTCAAATATTCTTATTATAATATTTCATAAAACATAATTAAGTATTAAATATTTAAATATTTTAACATATAAAATATATATGATAGCAACCATTTGTAGATCTATTCTCCATAGATAAATTTGTACTTTATGACGATATTTTGAGTTGTTTTGTCGGATCAATTGTTCAAAATATGTCTTCACCCAAATTCAATGAAAGAAATAAGACTATCCATTTATTAAATGAACCAAACTTGCCTGATATACTTGACAACAATGTAGTTGAAAGTCACTTTCGATGTATTTTCAACGATGGAACTAAACATATTAATGGTATTAATTTATTTGGTAGGCATTACTCAATAAAAAAAAGCTCAAGTTATCAAGGAGTTATAGCGGGAAAATTATTTTTTTTGTAATTTTCTATATTTTATAATTTAAAATAACAATATATTTAAATTTTCGAAAAGAAAAAGTCAAACTAACAAGAAAAGTCACTATCCCTTTAATAGTACGTGATGATTATAAGATAATATTTGTTCATAATTTTTCTTAATCATGGACAACACACACCATGGTAAACGTAGTTGCTTGTACTTGAGGAATATAATACTCCCTTTAATCACTAAGGATTGGTTCAAGTTCCTAGCATGTTTCGGTTTTGTAATGAATCAAATCCAATATAAAAGATATTAAATGAACTAGAATGGAAAATTAACGTCAACCGTGCAAGCACAAGCTTATTGAGCTGACAGATTACAACAACAAACATTTGTTATAAACATTCAAATGGAAATTGAAGCGTGGATGGATTGATTGATACTAACAAATACTTTCATTTTTTCAATACACAAACGATGATAAGAAGATTCAACTTGGAAAATTTAGTGTCGGAGCTCACCACTTTACTTTGCTGCTTCATCCTACAATTTGAGTTTGCTCAGTTCAATCTTTTTGACTGGATATGTGTATGCCTCATAGTTGATTTGCTGCCCCAGGCAACTTAGCTTTGTAAGTGTAGTTATCAGATCAACCTGGGATAGCAGAATTACATAATCGAGTTTAAAACAAGACCCGGGTTTAATGTTTAACATGAAGTAATTACGATTTTCGTGTCGAACTTGACAACCATTCAAAGATGCTAGATTGAAATACAGAGAAACAACGAACGAACCTCATAATCCGTCTGGGACACAGTTTCTCGGCTCCGCTGGTACTTTTGAACCCAAGGAGAAACATCTGGATCAGTAACTAGCAAGGCCTCTGTTGCATTCTGGTCTGGACCCAAGAATGCAGACATCACAGCTAGCTGATCATCCGATACGAGAAAAAAAATGACCGAGATTAGGGTGCACACATGATGATTGTGACCGAATAAGACATGAAGGCTGTTGCACTCCAAAGTGGGGCAAACGGGAGGTACAGGGAAGAAAACAATATACATGAAAACGTTAAACATGTCAAAATCACCATTCCTCTTTTACATGGACTTCTATCATGCTTGTGAGTTCAAGCATGTCTTTTTGGCACTTTGATGGGTTTAGTGAAGATTAAGAAGAAAGTGACTGTAATAAAAGCGCGAAACAAGGAACTACCTGACGGGGACCAAAGCCGATTGCTTTGAACTTATCTTTCATTTCTTGCACGTTTGCTTTCTCCCAAAGAGGCACTCTTCCCTCCGGGTCTGGCTCTTCAGCATCACTTCGTCCAAACTGTCTATCAAACAAGCCCCACTGTTGGAGCAATATAACAGTAACAGTATCAATACTAATGAACTGCCAACTTCAATCATATTTGTAGTATTTAGTACTTCAAACTCAAGGCGAAAATACCAGTAATAGATTAGATCATGCTAATTGCTAAACAACAGATGATAGCATTTTCACTTAAAGAAAAGGACCTGTCCGTTTGAACCATACGCCGCATATAATGTTCTTCCTTTCTCTTCGTTCCCACCGCATTTGCGAATAGCAGCAGCCAGAAAAGTAGACTTGACGGCGGTTTGAGCTGGATAGAATAAACAAATGCAATGTCCGGTGAATTAGCATTATCAAGAGAGATAGCTATGACAGAGGGCATAATTTCACCTGCATATTGGATGAGATCTGAGTATGAGATAGGTCCTCCCTTGGAATATAAATCAATCTCCTTCTTTGCTTCATCTAACAAACTCACAGCAGCTGAAAGCCCCTTATTTTCAGGTCGGCTTAACTCTGAGCTTTAAGCAAGAAAAAGAAGTCAAGGAAGAAAGTTAAGATTTGAATAAGAAGCTAAAACAATGATTCTACTGAGCCGCAGAAAAGGGGAAGGTTTAAGCACCGAGTAACCGAGGACAAAAAATGTGAATGGCAAAAAAAAAAAAAATGGAAAACAAGGCAAAACTAATCTCCAAATTTCTCAGTTAGAATTATTCAACTTAAAGTCAAGGCATCTACTTCCATGTTAAAATATACAAACAGCACAATGGTAAACAAGATCTTAGTGTCAGTGCTCAGTAAACTAAAAGGTTACCAGACTTACATTTGTGAAGTATTTTACGTAGTTCCTAAGAACAGAATTATACTTGAGATAACGCTGTGTAAAACCAAGACATACCTAAAACGAATGGATCCATTTGGGCCACCAGATTTTGTAGCCTACAAACTTAAGCAGTAGAAAGTTATTATATTTATTTCCCCATCTCATATAGCAAATTAAAGAGGAAACTGAAAACCTTGTTAACAAATATCATGAATCTGACCTTGTCATAAGTCACAGCATCATTCAGTGCCAAAGTTAGCAGGGAGGGGACAATATCTGGATTTTCCTGAAATTCATGATTGAAACATAACAATAACAAGATCCAATGCTAATTGCTAAACCATAACCTAAGACCACAAACACAACTTATTTGTATTTTGCTGTAGGAAAGGGATAAGGATCGGTAAATATACCTTTATAGCTGTATACAAGGTGTCCTTAATACTTGCTGCAGAAGATAAGTGTGGAATATAATTCAGAATACCATAGTAGTTTCAAGGTGAAACTGTACTAGTGTATATATGGGGAACTTTACTTACAGAGGAACTCAGAGCGCTGTCTACGTTGTATCAAATCAGCAGCACTTGCCATTTCAACCCATGACCCTGAGCTTCCAAGGAATTCCTAAAACACAGATCAAAACTGGCACAAACTTATCACCGCATTATCATCGAAAGCACACATACATTCATCTTATGGCACAGTTAATGGAGATTTATTGCTACATATCTACTTAAGTAGCTTAAATGGTTTTAAACAGGTTAATTAAAACATTGATAGAGTTGTAGAGAAAGAGAAAAGTAGGTGTTACCAAACCAACTGTAGCTCCAATGCATTTGAGAACATCTCTACGACGGAAGCCATATTCAGAAGAAACATCAACAGGTTGGGTTTTAGTACAACGAATAGCACCCTGATGGTTTCAACACGAAACAATGAGTTTTGCATTTCAAAGCAAATATAGTGAAAACAAAAGCAACTTACAGGCCGAGAGAGGGATCTATTGGCAGCAATAGAGGTAGGAATAGAATTCAAAGAGGGGTCAGGGACAGGGGCGAGTGAAACCAAAGAAGGCGTTGTTGAAAGGAAAGACACCCTCATTGCCTAAGATTCTACTTCTTCGTTTCTTGCTTGGCAGAGAGCAGATATGTGATGTGCTTGCTACAAAGGTACGTGTAGAATGCGCAATAGAGTAAATGATTTTGTATCATCCTTATCTCTATCTATTCATCTATGTATCTCGATTCTTATTGGTGGGGGGCAAATTCTTGAGACTTGTCTCCAAGTATGGGATGAGTTAATGGACCCAAATTGCTAGTTTTTGTTTAAGCCCATATAAATTACAAACGAATCTGTTGCCGCCATGGGGTACCTTGGTTGATTTTATTACAGAAAGAGTTTATCTTAATTTTCTAGTTTTCACTCTGAATTTTACATGATAGGAAATTTGGAATAAGAAAAAATGTAAAAAAAAGAAGGCAAAAGGTCACCTAAGGCCCTGTAATTTTGAAAAAAGATCAATGTGACACTTATATTCTTTTTTGCACTCAATGTAAACCTCGAACTTAGAAAAAGAATCCAATGTGGCCTTTTGACCTAATAGTTTTTTTCGTTGACTGTTACAATCATGATGTGGCACTTCATGGAATTGATGTGGCGGTTCACGGTACTGACATGACAGTTCACAGTAACTGGTGACATGGCTGATGATATGACAGATGGACTAAATTAGTTTTTCAAATTCAAGGGCCAAATTGATTTTTTAAAAAGTTCAAGGGCTTATTTGATGTTTTTTTAAAATACAAATATTTTAAATTTAAAATATATGATAAGTATATTTATATTGATGTTTGACAATCAGATTATTAAAATACTAGTTGTAGGAAAAGTTATGGAAGTATATATTATGTTTTCCTTGAAGTAGTTGTGAATTCACATCATCCTTATTTTCATTGATAGAAGAATAACTATTTTGATTGGCTTTTTTATGTAATTTCAATGAAAAATAAAATAGTAAATTAAATTAAATAATAATATTTTAAAATTAAATATAATATATATTTTATTTAATAAATAATACTAATAATTAATGATACTTTTATATTTAACACTTTCACATTTTAATATTTTAAATTTTAAAATATTAATATTTTTTAAAAAATAAATAAGTACTTAAACTTAAAAAAAATCAATTTGGCCATCAAACTTGAAAAAAAATCAATTTAACCTATCTGTCTTGTCATCAACCACGTCAGCATCATTGACCGTCACGTCAACATTGTGAGGTGCCACATTATCATCGTAACAGTCAACGACAAAAACTGTTGATTAGAAGATCACATTAGATTCTTTTTCTAAGTTTAAATGTCACATTGAATTTTTAAAAAAAAATGAAGGTCACACTGGTTTTTTTTCTTCAAAAATACATAGGCCTCAAATACCAATTTACCTAAAAAACAATAGTGAAAATAATTGCAAACTTTTTTATACGCCAGTAAGATGATGTGCACTTCTTACATGTAAAAGATTGCATGTGTACTTTGTACACGTGTAAGATGTTAGGGGATATTTGATTCGCAAAAAAAAAATTATCAAGAGGAATAATATTTTCCGGAATCACATACCCACATTTAATTTAGAAGCATTCTTTTCAAAGGTAATAAAGCATTCCCTACAATAGTGTTTTTTGGGGTTTTCCCGGGAATGTAATTCCCCGTGTTTTCTTAGGAATTAGACAACTTCCTCTTTAGGACAATAATGCCCTTGAAATAATATGACTATTTCAAAATGATCATTCCTTTTGTGCATAATTACATTGATATAAATTATTTACGATATAAATATTTATTTATGTGAATTTCTATATTTATCTATAAGATAAAGATATTGATATACATTATTATTATATCTCTAATATCCATTGATATTAGAGTTGTATATTACATTTACTACTTATAGATATAAATACGGAGGTTAGAGAAAACATTATATACAACATATTGATATAATAGAACACTTTTTTCTCTTTATTCTTATATCTCCTCTCCTTCTTGTTTTTATTATTGCTTTATTTAGTTTATTTCACAATATGTTATCAACATGACTTGCTAAGAAGTAATAATTTTATCGAAGATCATATTTACCATATATAATTTTTCATTTGAGATCTTAGACAATAAGATCATATTTCCAATCATCAATACACCATAATTTCATATAAGTATATTTTATTTGTATATATATATATATATATATTACATTTGATTAAATTTTAGCCACATTCATATAATAGCATGGTTATAGTATTATTTTATTCATCAGTGTATTACCTCAATTTGTTTGAAATAACACCTATGAGACAAAGATAGAAGCCTTATTAAAAAAACCTCTATACACCTAATGGAGTAAAAAGAGTTCCCCTATAAGCCGATACAATGCATATTTCTCCGGGCCCCTGGTGTATGGTCAAGCCGGTTAGCTACATAATACTGGGGCAGCCAGAATCAATACAACGTTTTCCACATGTAGCACATTAAACATCTAAGAGCATTCGACATGAGATTACCATTCACTAGAAGAAGGGTTGGCATCTAACTATTTGACCACCCTAGCTAGTTATCAACCTGTTGAAACACGCATGACACCTTGAATCGGTGGACTACCAACACATTTTCTCCACTTTCATTAATTTCAGTCGCCTGCTAGGATAAGGATTTGACTAGGAAGGAATGCATCAAATGTAACTATACACCAGACAATTAGGTCTTCAACAATGCAGCTAACAAGATTAACACTAGAGCCAAGGATCGATTGTGCACTAAACGAAATTGAACAGCAGGGTCCCTCCGAAACGTGTTGGAGAAGTCAATAATTACGGCTGACAGGGGGGCACCGCCTATGTTTTTTTTCAATAAAAGGCTAGAGTTTTTCAGCAAAAAGGGCACCGAATTTGGTGCCCCAATATTTTATTGAAATTAAAATTGGGTTAATTATTTTTTAGCCACTTCACTCTTTAGGGTATTTACAAGATTAATCCTTAAGCTTCAACTATAAATACCCTAGCTCATTTAGCTTCAAAATCATCCCCAAATCTTCCAGTTCTCTCTCAAGTGTGTTTTGTAAACACCTGTAATTTTTTCTCTTTAGTAAAAGATCTACAGCAGTCCGGAGACGTAAGCACAATTGGCTGAACTCCGTTATCAATTTTTCGGGTATTATTTTTCCGCTTTTATTTCGTATTCTCACTAATCTGGCTATAGGGAAATTACTCATACTCGGTTTATTTCCCAACAACTGGTAATCAGAGCTTTTGGTTGTAAGTTTTGTCAATTTTTTTTGCGAGGTTACTATTCATTACTATTCACGTGAATAGTAAATTTTGTGAATAGTGAAATTTTGTCGGCAATACGAATTTTTCGACGGAGGTGTTCTAATACACGGTAGTTCGCAAGAATTGTCAGAAACGATCCAAACGAATCCAGATTCGAGTGGGAGCGATGACTGCAGACAAAGGGAAGGTGAAAATTGAAAAGTTCGATGGTGCGGACTTTGGCTTTTGGAAGATGCAGATTGAAGATTTTCTGTACCAGAAAAATCTATATCAACCCCTCTCAGGAAAGCAACCAGAGGGCATGAAGAATGAAGACTGGGCTCTTCTCGATAGACAAGCCCTCGGAGTTATCCGACTGACGTTATCCCGCAATGTTGCTTTCAACATAGCAAAGGAAAAGACCACGGCGGGTCTTATGGTAACTCTCTCCAGTATGTATGAGAAGCCATCAGCCTCAAAAAAAGTTCACTTGATGAGGCAATTATTCAATTTGCGGATGGCGGATGGGGCATCAATGGCTCAACACCTAAATGAACTCAACACTATCACAACCCAGTTGAGTTCCATGGAAATTGAATTCGATGATGAAGTTCGAGCTTTAATTCTCTTATCATCTCTACCAGACAGTTGGAATGTTACTGTTACAGCAGTCAGTAGCTCGTCGGGAAACAACAAATTAAAATTCGATGATGTTCGAGATCTGGTATTGAGTGAAGAAATTCGACGAAGAGAATCGGGTGAAGCATCAACCTCCTCAGCCTTGCACACGAAGTCTAGAGGGAGAACTTCAGAAAGAAATTCAAATCGTGGCAGATCAAAATCCAGAAGGGGAAAATCAATAACGGGAAAGAAAGATTTTACCTGTTATAACTGCGGCAAAAATGGTCACTTTAAAAGAGATTGCCGAGCACTGAAGAAAAATATTGGCGCACAGGATTCTGCCAACGTGACAGAGGAGACAGGTGATGCCATGATTCTAAGCGTCAACAGTCCGATTGAATCCTGGATCTTGGATTCAGGGGCATCTTTCCACTCCACCCTATGCCGAGAAATCATGCAAAACTATTTCAGTGGTGATTTTGGGAAGGTTCATCTAGCCGATGATGAAACCTTGAAGATCATCGGAAAAGGAGACATCCGATTAAAGTTGCCAAACCAGACCACTTGGACGCTGAAAGGAGTGAGACATATTCCTGGCCTCAAAAGAAATTTGATTTCTGTAGGACAGCTTGATGGTGAAGGATTTAGCACAACCTTTTCAGGCTATGAATGGAAGATTACTAAAGGAGCACTCGTCATTGCTCGTGGTAAGAAAACTGGTACTCTCTATATATCCTCAAATTTAGAGAATATCATTGCAGTAGCAGATGCTGATGGAAAATCAAACCTATGACACCAAAGGCTTGGCCATATGAGCGAGAAAGGGATGAAGACACTTTTGTCAAAGGGGAAGTTGTCGGATCTAAAGAATGTAGATGTCGGACTATGCGAGGATTGCATCTTTGGCAAACAAAAGAAAGTAAGCTTTGGAAAGATTGGTAAGACACCCAAGGCTGAAAAGTTAGAGTTGGTTCATATTGATGTATGGGGACCATCTCCAGTTCCATCTCTTGTAGGCTCACTATATTATGTCACCTTCATCGATGATTCTACAAGGAATGTGTGGGTTTATTTTCTGAAGAAGAAATCAGAAGTCTTTGATACCTTCAGAAAATGGAAGGCCATGGTGGAAAATGAGACTGGTCTGAAAGTCAAACGGTTGAGGTCTGATAATGGAAGAGAGTA